TTATGCAGTTTTGTCATTTGAAAAGCGTTTGAAACGGTTGTTCTGTATTTTGAAATCAAAATTAAGTAAATAGTAACACTGTCTGTTTTATTACCTTATATTCATGTAAGAAATTTACACGTCAGGTGGATGGGAATCTACCTGAGACATAATGAAGAAAAAAATCGGTTATGATCATCCGCTTATAGCGATCAATTTCATCCAGACAGACGTGATCAGTATATATGCGGTTTCCACTCTTCCAATCTTCTGGATTGCTAGAACAACTTTATTATATTAGCAAATAATCAAGAAGCTACATGTGTGGTAAATGGTAGATTTTAATGTGATCAATAGCCTAACTGCTGTAATACAGCCTATATATAGGCCTAATTGCTCAGATCTCGAGAGCTACACAGGTTAATCATAAAAACAGCTGCCACTGATTGTTTACTTTAATTTAAAACCAAGCAGTTTGCCAGTTTAATAGCAACGTTAACGTTAAAAACATTATTACAAGCATGTGACCACCTGAAAAGTGTCCTCCGGAAACACTTCCGTTGCGTTTCAGTTATTTGCAGCGCGCTTCCGAAGTTGCAGTGTATTTGAAGGTTCGTCGTGAACTTGAACAATATCCTTTGTTGCTTTGCGGCGCGTTTTTCTATATTAGACCTGAGTTTCTTTATTTTTAATTGTATTTGGCATTCTCGGCCACCGTAGTTAATCAACAGTATCAAGCACACGTTTTCAGTTATCCTTTTTCAGCTTAGTTTATTGCTATTCAGCAATGCACAGTACTTCAATTTATTTTGTACCTGAATTCCTACATTGGCACTAACATGGATGTCCGAGATGTGTGTGAATGAAGCAGTGCACTGCAGCATAATGACCATACAGATGGAGCATTACTTTGACTGAGGCCCAGATTTCCAGTCCAGCCCCTGAATCCCTTTAACCCCGAAAGCTGGCTCTCCCTGCTGCATTGTTTTGCACAAATGCGCTCTGCCACCACACTGTTCTTTGTTTATTTCCAATAAAATAAAAAGAATTTTTGTAGTGTTTTGTGCAAGCGTGTCTACATAACAAATTAACCAGCATGTGGGCAGTAATCTAGTAATGGTTTGGAATTCCCACTGTGAAATCTCTCGCTGTGGCTGCAACAGGTCTTGCCTGAAATACAAACAACTTGTGCAGATTTAATACCCATAACGTTATGATAAGCTCTCTAGTCTTGATTACTTTCCTGAGACGTATTTGAAGATCATGACTGAGTTACACAAATTGTTTATTGAATTCATCTATATTAATTCTAGCTTTGATTTCTAAGTAAGATGGTTAGATGGTTGTGCTCAAATGGTATATAAAACTGGAGTGCAGTGGTATATGGATTTTGGGGTGTTAGGAGGCAAAGAGGCAGGAAACTAAGCCATAACTAGTAATTATTGCTAATTATTTAAAAATAATATAGATGATATATAAATCAAGAATTCCCTTCCTTTTACTGGGTGTTCCTTGGTGCCGTCACACCTGTACAGAATACCGTAGATGGGCAGCCTAACCGTATGTCTGCCTTTCAGGACGCACTGCTTGGCTGTAACTTGTTGCTAAGCCCATGGGCTTCCAGGATTCCCTACACAGACGTCTCCAGTCTCCCAGGAGGTTGTGTGTGGGAGATAAAGTGCAAACATCACAGTTCGGTGTGTAAACAGACCTTGTATAAGCCGCCCACATCTCCTGTATCACACACTCCTGAATACCATGACTCACGGCTTCACATTGCTGATCCATGCCCCCCCCCCCCACCTGTCCTCCATGACGAATAATGAATAACTGCTCTCCCCTCCGGTCCCTCCCTGCTCGTGGTGTTTTGGCCAAGAAAAACACACCACCCAGTGATGACTGCGACACAAGTGCAGGAGGGGAAGGGCCAGTCTGTCTGTCTGTGTGTCTGTGTGTGTGTGTGTGTGTGTGTGTGTATATATATATATGTTTTTATTTTTTTTTCTGTGTGATTCAACCTCAGTATCTGCATGCTTTGTGTGTGTGTGTGTGTGTGTGTGTGTGGAGACAGTGAAAATACTAAGCACAGTATGACATCATTTTGATGCTAAATTACCTAAGTATGATGAATAATCCATAAATCAGAAAATACATTCTTTTTTATCGGAATTAGTAAGATATATTTCTCTGACAATATTGGTCATTTGTTATCTTTAACCGCTTATAAATAATCATTATATGAACATTGTACATTAAAAAGCTTTCTGCGGTTATTACTGCCATTCGGATGAGTCTCCTTGCTGTGTCCTTGAAAGTCAGTGATTGATGGGATTCTGCCAGATGACATGGCTGGCGAGGGAGAGGACCCATAAGGAGAGGGGAGAGACCGCGAGCGAGACGTGCGGCGAACGTGAGCCAACGAGGCTGCTGAGGTGAGAGAGGAGCACCGGGAGCAGAGAGAGGGAGCCAGAGCGCGGAGCGGGGAGAAGACGGCGAAAGAGGAGCAGGCAGCGAGCGAAGGAGACACACGCAGGCACGCACGCAGGCAGGCAGGCAGGCAGGCACGCACACACACGCGCACAGAATGCATGGTGAGCGGGCGGCACACACTCGCTGGTGCTCAGGGCCGTGCTAGAAAACCATGGGATGCATCAGCTCCAGGAGTCTCAGTAAGATTCGCTTCATTCACTGTTCATTCAGCAAGCTGTCTGGGTGTGGGCCCTGCTTTCCGGGGTGGGGGTTTCTATGGTAACACTGTGCTAGGAATGTTCCTCTCTGCTGTTCAGAAATAGGCTGGCATTTGTGCTGACAGTCCCACCACGGCTCTGGTGGGGGGGACAGTATGATGTGTTGGTGTGGGATTGTTTGTATGGCAGGGATATGAATGTGTGTGTGTGTGTGCATGCGTGTGTGTGCGTGCATGGAAACCTGCAGGCTGCCTGGTATTTCTGCAGAGTCGGGGAGGGCGGAGGATGGCGCCTGGCCCCTGACTCTTATTGGGGGTGTCTGTACTGTTAACTGCTACAAGTAAAAATCCAGAGGGAGCAGCACAGCAAGCAGAGTAGGTAGCAGCATACCGAAACGCTAAAACAGAAAAATGCACTGCAGGGAGAGTGGGGGGGTGGGGGGGGGCTCACATGAGCCGGGCTTGCTGATCCTGTCTGTGGAATCGCGCTGCAATGTTTATTCAGGCAAACCCCAGGTGAAGATTGCTTGTTTTATGCCGAGGTCAAGCACAGCATGCACGGAAGCATGCATCAAATGCAGTATGAGGTATTGTGATGGCTCTAATGTGGCAGACAGTAATGACACCAGTGTCACTTTGCATACTTTCAGTTTTCATGGCATTGCTAAGGCAAACATTCAATATGCGTATTCCCATCGTGCGGGTAACACAACTGGGAACACAACTGGTACGGCTGCTACGGTGCAACAGGAGGATAAACACACAGTAGAGGTCCTTAATCAGGCAGTGAATTCACAAGCTCGTGGATTACGGGACAGCGCAGGAACTGAGCTACGAAAAGAGGGAGAATATCCCTGAGCACATGAACAAAGAGAAAACTGCTTGTGGTGACTCTGAAAGTTTGCGTTAAGTGGCTGTAGAGGTATGGTAGGGTATGCATGCACAGTGGCCTGCGGACTCCAGAAAAATTACTGGGAGGAACGTGGCTGCAAGTGAACATCTTAGACATTTAAGAGACAGAAAATGTATGGGGTTTCCTTGTCAGCTGAAACAGAATTGGGTGTTTGTTTTGAAAACCTGACATCTATCAGGAAAAAGGCAGCTGACCAGCTGGTGCGAGGCCCCCTGTCTGTCAGGTGTGGTACTCTCAGCATGATGGGCGAAGATTGAGCCCAAAAGCTCAGCCAGGGACCCCATTCAAACCTGCAGCCAGATATTAACACAGCGGCCCAACAACAAGTCAGGCTGAGGGATTAAAATAATGGTGTGTCAGTTTCCAGTTATAGCTGTAGGAATTTAAAAATTATAATAAAATGATCATATTTTAGTTACAGTGTCAGACATTATACATGTTTACTTTAGGCCATGATTTAAAAAAAAAAATCTGACAGAAATACTGGATATCACTTGGGTTTTGTTTTTTTTTTATTTGTAGTAAAAGCTTGGCTCTGTAAATAAGAGTCGACTAAGCAATTCTTCTGATGGCGTCCTTTAGGTGTGAAGGTCATTGTGATGTCATTCTGCACGTTCTGTTTGTGTATTCCAGCTCCTGCCAAAATGTTCTTTTCCCCATATTTTCAGGTGTATTTTTGTTATCATTGCAGAGACAGTAACAGCCAAATTACAGTAAAATGTTCAGCAGTCAGACATTATTTTAATTAAATAAGTATATTGCAGAGCAAAAAAAATTGGGAAAACTGAAAATGATTTTATTACTCTTTAAGAAGGCAATCATTTAGAATTCTTGGAAATAAAAATAAATAAAATTGTATACGGTATAAAAAATATAATACAGTATATAATGAAAATGAGTGAAGTGCAAGCTGTATGCAGCTGTGAAATAGAAGCAAGACAATCAACAGTGAAACAACGCAGGAACAGCCAACAGGAGGATGCTCTGCAAAGACATCACGATGACATCATTTCCTGATGACATCATTTCCTAAGGATATATGGTGCGTTCGTTTTTCTCTCGGAACTCGGAAATTCCGAGTTGAGTGACATCACGTCCGACAATCTCCCGTTCGAGCTACCCACATCTCGGAACAAACATGGCTGCCTCCATGAACACGTTGCTGTGTGTTGTTGCTTTATATTTTAGCAGATTTGGAGTTTTCCAAATGAAGAAAATGGAGAAATTTAGATTTTTCCGAGAGACAAACAAGAAACACGAACTAGTCAAACCACATTAAAAGCTTTATAAAATATTTTAGTACATTCACAGCGATATTCTTTTTTCGAACAGTAAATAAACTACAAACAAACCAAGTCGCCATGTTGAAATTACGTCACAAGGGCAACTCGGGCAACAAAATCTTATCCGACTTCAACGTCATAAAAGGGGCGTGTTTCCGACGGGAAGTGATGTTTTTCGTGACGTATCGTGACGTTTTCATCTGAGTTCCGACTTGGAGAGAAATAATCGAACGCACCAATATACCTGAGTAAATTAGGGGCCACAAACCAAATTTCTCTGTTAATGGGGGAAATTCTATGTCAGCTATAGCTTCAAAACAGGATTCAAGCTTAGTTTTAATATCCCATTGGGTTTTGCCGCTACCAAGACTTGTATGTGATGAACATACTAACGACAGTTAGGTGCTTATGAATTATATCCCCAAGGGGGAGTATGTTTAGAGGTTGTTCTCACTAGATTTTTGCCTTTTGCTTCAGTAATTTTCTGCACCTGGCACCAGTGTGCCCTGAAAAGTCATGACTAATGCTATATGCCTCAAAGCTTCAGAATAGGATTCTTCGGCCGTGGACAAACGTATTTTCTGTTTGCTTACAAAAGGAACCGCCGCAATAACAAAGTGGAACAGAATAGACAGAAAGGGCATTAATGCTCATTACATATAAAATATCGCTCGTGTACGTATATGAACTACTAGTTCATATACGTACACGAACTGCTAGTTCAATTACAACAAAAAATGTGAAAACTGATTTTTAAACTGAAGCTAAACACAAGATGTATGCATTTATTGCAATGAAAGCTGATAAGAACTCAACAGCAGCATGAAATCTAGCATGTGGAATCTTCACTTGTAGGTGTGTTCAAGCCACATAGCTCTTTGGCCATGATTCATCTTTGGCAAATATGAAAGTGTAATTGTGGTCATTGTGGTTAGTCTGGAACAGGCACACCACTGCTGAAAAAGGGCAACAGGGGTGCAGCTCTTCATGGAACAGGAGCATGCTGACAATATCCTCCTCTATCACTATCTGGGACCTGGAGCTTCTGTGTGTGCTATTAACATTTTGTTGTTAACATCAGTGATGGAGCCATTGGGATGGCTGGGCTGGTACCAGCCAATGGGATGACCAGCCTGGTATCAGCCAATGACAGTGCTGGGCTGGTACTAGCCAATGGGATGACCGGCCTGGTATCAGCCAATGGGAGGGCTGGGCTCGTACCAGACCATATGTGATGCAGCTATAATTTTAGTAGTTCCCAGAATTGCGTGAATATACTCGAAACAGCCATAATTATAATATTTTCTTATTTTCTGCATTTACTAGAAGTCAGTGACATTCTTCACTTCTCATCGTTGGGATATGCCTCTTCTACTGTTTCTGACTGAAGGGGTTTGTGTTAAAGCTGCTGACAGACAGACTGACACACACATTCACTGACACAATGTCAGAAGCTTAGAGAATCCCCTTCCCAGTGTAGTTATTACAGATTATTAGGGACTGGCAGAGGAATGTCAGAGAGAGGAGCTGCAGATGATTATGAGTCAGAGGGATTGTAACTGTAATGGACACCAGCCTATAAAGACATAGAGAACGGCATGAGGAAGATGGTTTAGTGATCGTCTCCTGTGCGTTATCAAAACAATACTAATAACACTCAGAGTAACAAGGCCTGCTTTAACAAAACAATACTAATAATACTCAGAGTAACAAGGCCTGCTTATAAAGTGCCAAATAAGGATGGAGAATAAACTGTATTCGTGCTGATTACACCTCGTAGTGATTCTATCTCTTGCATCCCTAATTAATGGCAGCAAACAAGGTCTTGTTGGGCTGATTAAATTAAGAGCCACAAGAGTTAAGTCATTAGAAACAGAAGAACTTGAACAAGTTGCTTAATTCCTCGCTTCCCCGTGTGTTAAGGCACACTTGTCCTGCCTTTTGTAGCAACTTTGCCAACATGGTCAATGTTAGCGACTTTTTTGTCAAATGCTTTTGCACCACAAACCATACAGAATGTCAGAAAATACTAGTAGAGAAACAATGCCAAGTGCAAAGTAAAGCTTATTAACTTAACTATTAATTGATGATATAATTTAAAATACATATGGATACAATAATATGTAAATCGAAATGTAACAAATTGGCCAGTTATGTGCCTTTGTCTGTGTCTAGTCCAGTATCCAGTCAGTATCCAGCATCTCCTTGGGTGCTAAACATCCCATAGAGAAGCACTCTGCTGCGGTCCCTCTGATGAGTCATAAAGTCACAGATTTCGCACCACGTGTTCCTTCCAAAGTCCCTGCATCCTTGCCTGAGATAAGCCAGTGGAAGGCAGATGGGGGGGGACATACGTTATGTAAATATTGCGTTTCACATGGGGCTGTTGTCTGAATAATGTGTGCGGTATACTTGAGAGAGCCCTACGTCAGGTTTATTGCCTTAATTCGGATAGCTTGCTGTATTATTTATATTGCTATCATTTATATGATAATTGACTATGATTCATATAAAAGCAATGCAATATTGCAGTATATAATTTTAGAATGCAAGGAATTATTATACTCCAAGCATAAATGTAGTTAATAAATGTTACACAGTGCCTTGCACTTCCTGCTGTATGCTATGGTGACACTGAGTTAATCACACATTTTTGTTGTTTTAAAACTGAAATAATTTCACTCTTTATATCACTTGTACAGTATAGACTCATGGTGAACCTGGAACCTATCCCTGGAAATAAGAACATAATCCAGGGAATGAAGCTGGGAATCCAGGGAATGAAGTAGAGAATCCAGGGAATGAAGCAGGGAATCAAGGGAATGAAGCTAGGAATCCAGGGGATGAAGCTGGGAATCCAGGGAATGAAGCAGGGAATGTAGCAGGGATTCCACGCGATGAAGCTGGGAATCCAGGAAATGAAGCAGAGAATCCATGTAATGAATCAGGGAATCCAGGGAATGAAACTGGGAATCTAGGGAATAAAGCAGGGAATGTAGCAGGGAATCCACGGAACGAAGCAGTGAATCCAGGGAATGCAGACAGTTTAGAGCACAGGTGTCAGACTCCAGTCCTGGGGGGCCGGAGCCCTGCACATTTTTGGGTTTCCCCTCGTTTAACACACCTGATTCAACTTCTTGTGCTAATTACCACATAGCAGTCGAGCTGAATCATTTGTGGTGGAACAGGGAAAGAACTAAGCTACACAGGGCTCCGGCCCCCCAGGACTGCAGTTTGACACCCCTGGTTTAGAGACACCAGAATCTAATGAGGTGTTTTGGGCTGAGGGAGGAACCCAAAGTACCTGGATGAAGCCGCTGAGAGTGCAGGGAGGGGGGTGCAAGAATGAGTCTCCCAGCCCTGGAGATGTCAGGCCACAGTGTTCTGAGCAGAACGGAAATGCATCCATCACGTTAACAGAGTCACATTGCACTGTCAGGGACAGTCAGCATCTCGCTGTTGGGCAGCAGTAGTTGACGTCCTATTGACATACAACAATTAGTGTTTGTGGACTAATAGGGAAATCTTTGCTAAACTGAACTGCTGAGCACAGTGACATTAACAAAAAATTATCAAAATATGCATTACAGCATGTTGGGGCACATATTAATGGTTCAGTTGTGTTAAAGGTTTCTTTGGATTCAGATCCAAATATCTCAAAATATACGTCAGCATATATGTCAGCAAAGTTTGCCTTGCCATAAAAAATCTTATGAGTATAAAAATCATCATTTAAAAAAAATATATGCATTTATTATGTTATGTGGCAAATAATAAGCACTGAATTCTCTTGTACGGTAAGGTCTCTTCTTGTATAACATCCCTTGATCTGGACCTAAGAGTAGAATGTTAGCAGACCTTGACATGACTGTGTGTGATGCTCAGTGGCCTGGAATGCAGCGTGACACCTCAATGCAGCATGTGTATCTCTGCCACTGGCATAATCCACCGCCTTGATCTCCCTTCTGTGTCTCCGTCTTGCCTGTGCAGTGCCCGGCTCCGCTCCAGGGCAGCAGGAGGCGCAGCAGGTAGGCCCCTAAACCATCTCCTCTCTCCTGTTTCTTCCACGGACCAGGTTTGAGGGAGATGGCATGCTTGACCCCTGATTGGAGGCCCCAAAAAAGTGGATGGGCTACAGGCAGTGTAATGCATCATTTCCATGAGCTACAAAAGCCAGAGCCATTCATACAGTTACATGGTTCCTCTTTATTATGCAATTCGATAATATAATTTCATAGTAGGAATATAACAGCCAGTGTTTCTGGTCACATGAGAGTTTTCGGAGGCTGGGCTCATACAAACACAGTCCCAGTAAGATGTACCTCTATTTATAGATGGACCTTTTAAGCACACCGTGAGTCATTTGAAGGCCTATAAACAGTCTGATACGTAATGCTTCTTCATTATGGCCAGTCAGCTTGTACTTTACGCCTTTAAAATGAGCGAGGCTGCGGTGAGTCAGCAAGGCCACATCTGTATCTCAACATAAACTGCATGGCTGAAAGAGAGAAAAGTCTCACCGTGTGTTTGCAGTCACCTCCGTGAGAAAAGCACCGGACAGGATGCTGCACATGCATTGTCACCAGAGGGACGTCATCCAGCAAAAATATATATATTTATGCGGCCAGGTGCTTCTCTGTACGATGTTAATGCATTGTCATGTCAATTATTAAAACGAAAACTGCTCATACCTTTTCTGCTTGTTTTTTTATCTTAGAGTAATGTATGTCATGCTCCTCTTTTTCTCTCACAAGTCTCCTTACATCCATCCATCCATCCATCCCTTCATCGTCTTTGCCCTTTTCCTGAGTCGGGTCACGGTGAGTTTCTGTACATGGCAGACGGCTCTCTGGCCACGGCCAGATGTGAACAGCCATAATTCACACACATCTTTTCATTCCTGCTGTCTTCCATATGCTTATATTCCTTTACGCACTTTTAGTCCTGCTGCACAAGCTTATCCCTCTAGTTCCTCCTCTGATCATCACCTGCCCACATTAAGTCCTTGTATTACTGTCATAAATCTGTTCCTCTGGCCTCTATATAGCTATCTGTGGAGGACACGACTTGCATCATCCCTTGCCTGAAACGAAACTCCAGTTCCTATGGGATTGGAGCTCTGGCCAAATCGTCTCTGACAGGCGTATCAGGTGTGTGTCTGTCCTGTGGCCGGTAAAACAACCGCATGCTGGTTCCAGCCCTCAGAGCCAACATGGTCCCCAGTCAATATCCCTGATCGCTTCCACCAGACTGTGACAGCACGTGTCACTGATCATGTGAAATCCAGATATTTGAACCGTGATTCATCTACAGTTTAGCGCAGTGTTTCCCAATCCGATCCTCAGGAGCCTACAGTAGTCCACATTTTTGCTCCTACTGGGAGGGAGCCAAAACACGGAGCGACCGTGGGTCCCCAAGGACTGGATTGGGAAACACTGGTTTAGCAGGAGGTGGTGTGCACTGTACCATCGTCTGTTTCATTGTGTGGCCTTCGCACCAGTGTAGCCTGCTCTTTGTGTGGGATGTCAGGTGCAGAAGTACCTCTTTGTGCTACAGTATAGTTTTAAGCTGGAGAAATTATTTACATTGAATCATTTTAAATTAAAAAAATGCAACCGATGTGAACATAAATGTAAAGTGGCACTTGTTGGGAGAAGCATGGTACCAGTTTTTTTGGTTGCATTACCAGCAAAGAACACCCACAATTATCTGCATTTAAAGGGTGGACAGTCAATAGGTGAGACAGATTATTATATGGTAATACATGTGTGCTTTGTAACTCTTAATAATGTTTGCCACTGTTGCTGTATTTCGAGGCCCACACACGTGAAGGGTGCACAGTGCCTGAAGCAGAACCGTGTCTTATTCATTGGTATTTCATGTTAAATGGCTGCTGTGATGATATTCCAGCTTCCGAGGCACTTATACGTAAACGCAGCAGAGAGAAGGAGCTGAAAGTTTAACGTGCTGTAAGAAATCCTGTCTGATCACCATCTACATCCCATAATGAGTCTGCTGCATTATCAGTACTGCATGGCATCAAATTCTGAAAACTAAGAATCACCCACGACAGAGTAGTGCGTCCAGTGAAATCAAAACGAAACACTCTTCCTTTTAATTATCCACTGTATCTTCTCAGTCCAATCTCCAGTGAATCTCTCTTTGCCTTTAAATCTGTCAAAACATTAGGTATGACGCGATCCATGAAGGACAAAGTAACAAAGCCCACTGCAATGGCCCAAGGCCGTGTGGCTCACATGATTGAGTGGCAGAGTTGGGGCACACCATCTGCTGGGCCAGAGGGGGGTGCGGGCCGTGCCAACTTGCACCGTGAGAGGGAGAGACGGCTGGAAAACGATGCCTACAGTGACTTGAGTGATGGAGAAAAGGAGGCCCGCTTTGCAGCTGGTGAGACACAGAAATGCGAACATGGTGAACGCTGTGCTGACTGTCGCTCTATCCGATAATTACTATCCAGTTAAATTAGTGTGGAACTGTCTTATGTTATTGGGATATTGTATGCCTATACCTACACTTAATTATTACTTAAAATGAGTAACCTGCTGTTTCTTCTGCATTTAAAGCCAACATTTATGAAACATTTTCTGTGTTTTCTAATGTACTTTGTTCAAAACTGCAAGCCTGACAGCGGAAGAGGACACCATATTCCATGTTTGTACATTGTCACCTGAGCCGCTGTTTGCATAAATTGCACTGGGATGGCTGATCCTCTTCTGCGCCCACAGGGGTCATGCAGCAGTTCGCCATCTCTGAGGCGACCCTCCTGGCCTGGAACTCCATGGATGAAGAAAGCTTTGGTGCAGGGTGTAACCGTGGCAGCGCCGCCCAGCTCAGTGAGGTCAACCAGCACAGCGTCACTAGCAGAGGTACCGGGACACAAAGAGATCAGCGCGTTTCACTCACTCTTGTAATATATATTACAAATATCACATAATTGGGTGTTTACAGGCTTATTATCTCGTCTAATAAAATGCCGTAAAACAAAATTACTAAGACACACACAGCGTAAAATAAGTCACATACTGTTTACACTGCTGCACACATTTAGGTCACCGATCCATCAGCATGCAATAGCTGAACCACAGAAGAGAGGAAAAAGGCAGCGACATGGTTGTACCCAGCAATGCAGTTTATCAAATTATATTCCATGTGCCTGCCCTGAGCAGGGTCACGGGGGGGGGGTCCGCATTCTGCAGGGCCAGTTAACAGAGCTGCACATCTTTGGTCTGTGAGACCTAGAGGAAGCCAGTATACCAGGGGTATGATGAACCAGCACAGAGAACCTGGATCTCCAGACCTACAAGGCTGAGGCAGCAGTGCCAGCCTGTACCCTATTTTATAAAATTGTTATTGATTTTACAATGACTGCAATAACACACGGTAACACACGGTAAATGAGCAATTATGTCTTTACAATAACAACAATCTGGGCTTGTGGTTGCACTTAGTCATATACACAGTCCATACTACATTAGGGCCTGGGGGTGCGGGGAGGGGGAGGGGGATGGGGGACTCTGCCATCTGCCAGTGGTGGGGCCCTCGTACCTGAACTGCACCCACTAATTTTAATGCATTGTAGACATAAACACACAACTCTGTCACACACATACATGCACACTTCACACCAACACGGCCCGCCGGGTGGAAGACCCATCATGGGGGGGTTCGGGTGGCCCTGGCCGGTGTGGGCGGCCTCCTCTCTTGGGCCGCGGGCCGGGTGGTCCTTGGCTCTGCTGCGCCGTGGTGGGGCCCTGGCGGATAGTCCGGGGAATCTTGGGACGCTCTGGGCCCTGCTAGGCGGATT